TCTTCCAGTTTTGACATCAGTGTTTTTTAACTGAGTTAAGTATTCTGACTGCCAACACTAGTACCTGAATGGGAGCCTAGATTTCCCATCTATAGTTAGATATAAGGAAATATTTTTCTACCATAAGCATGATTAAACATGGGAACAAGTTGCCTGGAGAGATTTTGGAGTCTCCATTCTTAGCAAAACCCATCTGGACTGTCTGCTGTACCTGACACTGCCTTGACAAGGAGGCTGGATTGGAGACCTCTGAGGACCCTTCTAACATCAGCAATTCCATGACTCCAGAAGTTTGGTGAATTCATTCTTGTTTTCTGCATAGATGTACTTCTGTTTACATATAGAGAACGTACACAATTTGAGAATTGGGGAAGACCTACTGCAGAAGCCCAATCAGGAGTCTGAAGGCAAGCCTCCTTCAGCCCTGTTCTTCTGATCAATGTAATCTAAGCAAAAGTAAGACACACCGACACAAAGGACTTCAGAAAAAACGAAAGGGTGAAAGCTTTTCTTCTAGATCAGGGAAATGTAAAAAACTGTACTCTAGAATACTCAAATTCACACTGTTAAGATCTCTGTTCTGTTTCTACCTTGCGAGATTTGGGCTCCAAACCACATTTTCCCAGTTCCCTAGCTTAGAAGGCATTTCTAAGGCAGCTTAGAATTAGGGCATTTCTTTTTTTCTTCAAATTATCCACAATGTAATGCTAAAACTCTTGTGCATAAAGTTCATGTGAGCGTTTGGCTCAGGACTATAACTTAGGTCCCTTTTTACAAGGTAATTGCCTGGGTCATGATTGCTGCAACACACTTTCTTATACACAAAATCCTCTTCTACTGAACCTTTTCTAGTAATTCTGAGCATTTTACGGGAAGAAAAAAAGTTTGAATTTAATTTTCAGAAGATGGGTTCTAAACGGGAAACGACAAAAGGACCTTTCTGCTGCCTGTAACTGGATACAATGAACACTATAAGGAGGAAAGAGTTTAGATTTTTCTTCATACTCTGACTTCTGATTGACTAACTAAAGGGACCTTTTGATTGCTTTTGGACACTGTTATAAAGAAGCTAATTCTCCAAGACACTTTTTCTGGCAAATTCGGGCTCCTACCTAAGGTTCTGGAGTTTACTTCTAGGATCTGCTGCATAAAATGTAATAAGGTAAGTTTTAAGTACCAGATTCTGGACCTCAGTAACAAACCTAAGACAAACAGTGAATGAGAATCAGAATGATTAAATCCATTTCCTGTACATCCTTTTGCTCCTCGTATCAACAGTGTATTTAATTGGTGTAAGAAACTCATGATTTTCTGCAGTATTTATAATGAAATCAGCAGCCAGTGGCAAAAATAAAGGAAAAGATCTGGACCTTGTCAGCTCGTTGTTCTTACAAAAGGAAATTCACATGGTAATATGCAGTCTAACTCCTCTGTGGGTAAAAACTGCATACACAAGAATTCATGTTAACGTCTAGAACAGAAGGAAGACTTTTTTTTTCAACGTTATAAATATCAGCACTCATTGCTATATGCAAGTAGATAATTAGGGTAATTATTCCCAATTAGCAGCTGCAAACCCTGCAGATGGGAATTTCAGGGGCTGGTAACCATTGTAAGAAAGTATTTCTGCATGCTGTAAGGCACTTTCATATTTTGGAAAATACACATATAATGACCCTCATATTTGCTGTAAAACATTGTTGTTAATACTTCAGTATAAAGAAAACTCTTTCCTGTACTATTTCCTGTACTATTATAGTACTTCTTTTCTTTAAAGCTACGGTGCAGCCTGAGACTGCCTGGATTTTTCTGAATATTTAACCCATCAGTTAAAGTCATTAATGAACCAGTGCTGGCCAAACTGGGGCTCAGATTTTGCTTCTTTTCTTGCACTGTGAGGACAAAACAATGTCAGTGGCCCTTAATTGTTTCTGAAGACAGCAGATGGACTCCAGATGTTTTCATAGGCTGGGTATGAAATCTGAGAGAACATGCAGTGAAACTTCCTTACTAGGCTTCAGAACTCCTGTGCTTGTTGGATTCTGTTCCTTTGTATGGCACAACAGTAAAAAAAAAAAAGCATACCTATTTTAATTGTATGTAATGCTTCTATTTCAATAACAGGTTTGTGTGATAGTCAGCTGGTTATTATGGTTATAACAGGATTCGTGGTGTGTGTGTGTGTGTGCAGCATCACAAGCACAAATAGAGTAGGGATTCTTCAGTTCTTTCTTTGGAATTCATTTAAGTTACGAATTCAGAAAGTATAAGAAACGTAATTAGCAATAACAGTAAGACATGTGACTCTAATATTTGTTTTTTATAAAGCTTTTTAATGTGAAAAATCAGTCATTCCTCTCTTTTAAAATAAACTTTCACTTTCAAGCACCACAACTAAGCCTGTATTTATTCCTTTATCCTTATCCTATCTTTATCTGTATACCTTGTTCATCTGGATGTCCATTAAAACCTTTTTCAGGATTTGGAACTTGTTTTTAGCTTTGCTGACGTATAACTAATAGAGAGCTTTTAAAAGTGAGAGCCTGTTTATATGATATCCATTAATATTTCATAGTATCATTTTTTAATTCTGAATTTTATATTAAATTGTACTGCCAGCTGTGGATAATAATGCTTAAAAATATTTATACTGAATATATTAGGGGACTAACTCCTACAAGTACTACTACACGTAAATACCTCTTAATTTTCACAGAATCCCCAAAGTCTTTCCTCCAACATACTTATAGTGTTAGGTTTTAGAAAGGAAATGAAGAGGATGTATCACATTTAGAGATTTCAAGTTTGGACAAAAATTTTTATGCTATTCATCCAACCACCATCCAAAGCTGAATAATAATTAAGGTTTCACAGAATCTTAGACTTAAGCTTTGTTTCTTTGTATGATCTAAGCCATAATTCATTTAGATTCATGCTCCATCTTGTTACTTCATATAGGAATATAACTCATAATTTATTTCTCTGATATTCCCCTCTAACATTCTCTGCTCATTGTGGTCTGATTCATCTTTCTCACTGACCGTATTATCAGTATCTCTTTCTCTCCTGTGCTTGTTTCTTTAATATCTCTATCTTTACTTGTTCACCCTCTTTTTTAAAATTTCATTTCCTCCCTAATCCCTTTTTGGGACTCAAAGCACTACTCCAGTTCACCTGTTGTGTGGTTGATTCATATATCTTGAAAGGCAGCAAAGATGACAGGGGATCATGTTAGTTCTTTAAATCTGAACTCCAATCCTGCAGAAATCAATGGGAACATTTACTGAGCTCCACAGTGAACTCTGTCTTTAGGTCTGAAAAATATTTGACTTGAAAGTCTTTATTTGGCATCTTGCTTTGCAGAAACTCCTTAATATATGTTTTACTTGAAGTTCTGATTTATAGTGTGTTGGTAAATAATGCCATTCTACTTTGTAATATATAGGAAGTCATTATGCTTATAAAGGATTTGATGCTGCCAAGGTGCATCAGCCCTGGTCCACCAAAGTGTTCTGCTGCATCTTTCTTTTTAACTGTAAATTTTTATAATGGATTTCAGTGAGTTGCTTATATTGTTTAAGTAAATCACAGACCTCTGGAGATTATTGAGTCCAACCCCCCTGCTAAAACAGGTTCCTCAAAGTAGGTTGCACAGGAAAGAGACCGAGTGGGTTTTGAACATCTCCAAAAAAGGAGCCTCCAATGAGTTTGTTCCACTGCTCTGTGACCTTCAAAGTAAAGAAGTTATTCCTCATGTACTTACAGACCTTCCTCTGTTCCGTACTGTGCCAATTGTTCCTTGTCACTGATCTGGGTACTGCTGAGAAGAGTCCCATTCACTTACCTTTAGATATTTATAAGCATTGATAAGATCCTCTCTCAGCATTGTCATCTCCAGGTAGAACAGTTCCAGATCTCTCAGCTTTTTCTCACATGAAAGATGCTTCAGACCCCTCATCATCTTTGTGGCACTCCACTGGACTCTCTCTAGAAGTTCCCTGTCTTTCTTGAACTGAGGAGCCCAGAACTGTTCACAGTATTCTAAATGTGGCCTCACCAGGGCAGAGTAGAGGGGGAGGATCACCTCCTTTGACCTGTTGGCCACACTCTTTTCAATGCACCCCAGGATCCCATTGGCCTTTTTGGCATCAAGGGCACACTGCTGGCTCATGGCCAACCTGTTGTCCATCAGGACACCCAAGTCCTTCTCTGCAGAGCTCCCTTCCAGCAGGTCAGCCCGTAACCTGTGAGCCCATAACCATGCTTGCTGAGCTTATATGCAAGTCTTTAAACAAGGCTGGTTTCACTGGAAATTGAAAATACTACTCCTATTCAGTTCTCTGACAGTTTGCAGTATAGACACATCTATATTCCGACCACTAGATTTACTTTTTGGAAAACCATCCCAACTGTATGAAAGCAACTCCAGCTTCTATGTATTATTAGTAACTTGCTGCATTCCTGATATGTTACAGTCTCTATGAAGTATTTAGCAGTTGCTAAATTAAAAAACAAAAACAAAAATCCACATTTGCTTTTTTTTTTTCTTTTTCAGAAGTTTGTCCTTAATCAAAATAGTGCCCATTTCTGCATAAATCGTGGCTTAGCTTAATTTAAAGACCTCAGTGAGTGAGTTTTCTGTCTTTGACATACGATCAGCCAACTGTTTATCAGCTGCCAATCTGCATGCAAACTTTTAAGAGGTCAAGATTTCCTGTAATTTACAGCATATGCACATGTAGACCTTGCAACAAAGCTCTCGAGCAGTGACTTGGTTGTTTCTGAGGTTCTAACATTTATAAAATTAAAATTTCCCATCCTGATATTGAAAGTAAGTTCCCAAATCATTTGTGACCCTTAGAATTTTTTTTCTAAGTGATTTTTTTCTGAAGAAAAAAAAAAAATCACAACTTTTCTGTATAAAATGGAAACTGGAAAGAAGTATTTAAGTATATGAAAACGATGCGCGTTTTGCATTTGTGTTTGATGGTCTCTATTAGGTACCTCAGGATGAATGGGGAGGATACCCTGCCGGTGGGAAAGATGAAGAGATTCCTTGCAGAAGAATGAGAAGCGGGAGCTATATTAAGGCTATGGGAGATGAAGAAAGTGGAGACTCTGACACTAGCCCCAAGACATCACCAAAATTAGCAGTTCGACCAGAGTCATTATTAAAATCCATTGGACAAAGACCACTGGGAGATCATCAAAAGTAAGTTTTACTACACCATGTTATAACCCTTCCTGAAAATTTCCATGAGTAGATTATTTTTCTTTGTGTCTCATTGATAGTGATTGTTCTTCGTAGGAAAAGATTATACTGTAGGTAAAGCTAACTTTGTCTTACTTAGTTTTAAATTAGCTACAGTTTCTCTTGATTAGCGGATGAAAAACTGCTGTCTTCCTCCATTTGTGTAATGAAGGTATTACTTAAGAAAGAGTTTACTGTATTTACTGAAGGAAATATATCCATCTTCATATGAGATCTTTAAAAATTTTTCTTTTTAGGAGGACAATTTTATAATTCTTCAGGATTTTTTGGTGGTTTTTTTTTTTCTGAAATAGAAAATACACTATTCTGTAAGAGCTATAATAAGAAGCAAATGATTGTGATAAGTTTGGTACCTTAAATCTTTTCAGTACAGTGCTTTCTTTATGTGTCAGATATATTGTACAGTACTCATTTAACACTTTGTAGATGCTTTGGTTTGACTGCTTTTTTGTTATTAATTGTTTTATTGTTGGTGTTTTGTTTTGTATTGTTCTGTGGTTTTTTTCTTCATTCATTGCATCTTTAATACGACCTATTAAATAACTAATGCAATTTTTAAAACTATAGGAAAACATGCAGTTGTATGTTAATGTTTATATTCTCTTCAACCTTTCAATGTATCATTTTAAATAAACTGTAATTCTTCTTTAGAACACAACTGGAAAGTGGTAGCCACATTTGCAATGCGCTTCTATTTATGTGGCTGGGTGTTTCTCACAGCTCAGAAAGTTGATCTTTTTGCCTGGAAGAAATACATAAAAAGAAGAAATGAAGAGTGAAACCTTTGATTGCTGTTTATTGTTCTCTTGATAATACCATGCACAGTATAGCATAATGACTCATCCTTTCATAAAATAAAATGAAACAAAACAGAAACCTTAGGCAAAAAAAAAAAAAAAAACTTTTGGCTTAATTAGATTGAATTATTTAGCTTGCAGTCTAGAAGAAAAGCACCAGCTTCCTCTGCTACTGAAGGGAACAGTGATTTTGTACAATTTCTTATGCAATTCTATAGCTTCTATTCAAATGCATACAGAACAGTGTTTGTACTATGAGATGCTGTAAGACTTCTGAGATACTGTAAAGTGAGACTGCTCTGATAAAATTCACTCAGAACAACTTATGGCATCACAAAGAATGCAAAAGGCCTGTGTTTAGGCAACTGGGCCAAATCTGAATGTGCATCTGAAGGATTTGCTAGCATAGCAGCTCCAATGGTAGGACCATTGGCTTTTTATCTAAATACTGCTGTCAGACCTGTACCTGGTTGATTTCCAAACATCAAAATGTAAGATCTTAAAGGTAGTGGTTGGAATCAACATTCAAATATATATATTTATATCCTTAGTTGTTGTGTCTGGACTGGATTTTGAGGTTGAGGCACACTGGCTATAGTGACTGGTTTAGTCAGGGTTTCTCTGGGAATCAAAGAGAGTGGTCGTGCATCAGGGGGTGAGTAGAGGTTGTTCAGGGTAAGGAGCCCATAATTTCTCAGCAATGGCAGAGGCTTATTTTGTGAATTCCTCTGTCTTGGGTTTTCTTCAATGACTGTGAAAGCTGTGGGTCCTGCAAAGGGTCAGAGGGATAAATAAGGGAGATCTAAATTCCAGGGTTTGCCAAAAGTGACCCTTCTGAAGGCAGTGGGCAAAGGGGAGGTAGTCAGCTTTTACACATTGACAAGCTGTATTTCTGCTAGTAAATTAAACAGTGCCAGAGCAGAGGTCTGAGCACTGAAATCTGACCACACGGGCTGACCTGGTTTTAGAGAGGGCTCCCTCAGGTTTGTCATTTGGGCCTATGAGTGCTTCCTCAGACACTGCTGGGACTTGGTCTGGGTGGTAGTGTGGGCCCAGGATCATTCCCAAAAGGCAGTTTGGATGCAGCCATCCTATTTTGATGGGTAAAAGAGTATAGCAAAGGGGTTATGGCCAGGCAGTGCCAGTTGGCTACAAGGCAAGAGAACAGGCGTGGTAATTGTTAATGTATTTGTACAGACATAGCAACTGAGTCTGAGGAGAGCAGGCAGGACTACACCAGTTAGATCCCAAAGTGTCAGGGAGCACCAGTGTCATCTGTTGACTAAAGGGGAAAGCCAAGTTTCTATCAGAGCTTAACTCTGCTTTCTTGACTCTGCCTTATCATGTGCTTGCCAACTATTGACAAAATAATCCTTATGCTGCTTTAAAAGTTGGCCCTCTTGTAAGAGAGATACTGCATTGTTATACAGGTTATCCTGTCAGATTTAACTTTCGTGAGGTGACAGGGACAAAGGATCTGCTAGATCAGTGGGTAATTTGTCAGCGAGTAGCTGGATTATGGGATCCATCTGCAGATGAACTGGAGATGTAGGCATGCTGTCACGGATGAAGGTACATGGAAAACTGCTCAAAACATTGTTGATTAAAACCCCAGTGCAATGCAGATGCAGTGTAGTTAGGTTGACAGCAGTGCATGTTCCTGGCCCCCAAAGATTTAGTGGCATAGAAACCATTAACTGCAGTAGGAAAAGGATAGTTTTTGTGATACTGTGAAGTACTACTCGGGATCTGCTAACAATTTGTCATAAACGCTGCACTAGAAATAACTGAGAATCTGACCTGTTGCTCATGTATCTTTTAAATCCTCATTTTTGCTTTAAACTGATGGACAGTACCTTGAATCTGCCAGCCTGCCATGTAGAGTTTTTCCTGTGTGACCTTCAGACAGAAATGTCACAACTATCCTCATTCTTGAATGTCTGTCTTGCAAAAACCTGCAAATTCCAACAGCCCTTGACATTATGCAGTACTTTGGGCAAGCAGGCAGACAGAAAATTTCTTGTTTCACAGAAATATTGATGAAATAATGATCCAAAACCTGGGATTTCACCAAAAGCCATCTCCTCCCAGTTCTTCCCTGTCACTCTGTCAGTGCGGGTCCCTGTAAAGTCAGTCAGATTGCTATGAAGGGCATAGCAAGGGGTGATGGTCATGGAGCCTTCCTCCCTCTTCCCACATGGTTCAGTAATCCCCCTTGCATGCTGAGTGCCCTTTGTACTGCTGATCTCACTGCTGAGCCAAAAGTGAAGGTTTTGAACAGCTTTCTTGCATGTATAGCTGGACTAAATAACGTGACTGGCGTGTCTTATGAGAAATTACATAATTCAAGATGTCAGCTGCATTAGCTTGCTTTTTAGCTTGCTTATAGGATGGAGGGAGCTAATGCACAGAAATAAAATGGGGCTTTTAGTCTCAGTCCTTTGCTTGAATGGACAGGATAGCTCAGAACTGAAATCTGGAAGAGCACCAGTAAACCTGCAATATGAATACTGATAGTTTCATTGCTATAAAAACATGCTTTTGCTTCAATAGGAGGGTTTCATAAGAATGCACCTAGTTTTTTTATCACTATACTGAATAGGCTAAAATGGAAACTGGACAAGTTTTCACTTAACCTTAAACGTAATGTTGCTGTGTGTGCATGTTTCTCCTCTGAGTTGTATCAGGCATCTTTGAAAGGAATTATTTCCTATTTAAATTCCATTTATATTTTGACCAAAGTAAGCCCCTGTTTTGTTGGTTCGTGTAGCTCAAAGATTGAGAAAATTGAACATTAAAAATTCATGAACACTAAAAATGCATATTTGTATCTGAGTAAATAATTTTATGTAACAACATAACAAGCAGGTAAACATAACTGATTTAATATGACCATTAACATTCTGAGATCATTTATTTTAAGTAGCTCTTGGAAAGAAGCATATTTTAGTCCAAGTGGAAATGAAAAAGAAGTTGAGGGTCTGCCCTCCTCCTTTCCACACAGATGGTAGTTGCAGGGCTTGCACCCAAACAGTGCCATCTGATCATCGCCACTATCAAACCATTGGCACAGCCAGCATCATCCCAGCCTGCCTGCAGCCCAGCACCAGGCTGGCTTCTAGGCAGCACCCAGGCATGTTGCATGGACTCACCCTGCTGGATGCAATCACCCTCAATGCAGGATAAGAAAGTTTAATCATGTGGATCAGTTGGCCGAAGAGTCAGATAACAGACCTGACTTATTTCTGATGTGGTCTAGGTGATTCAAATTTTGCTGGATTTTTCAAAAATTAAATGCATCCAGATATCTATAGACTACCCACTGAAGACAAATGCAGTTCAACTCTTACTTTGTGAATGCTGTTTCAAAAGAATAAGTAGCATGTCATGCTACTCACTTCTATAACTTCAAGTCAAAGGCCAATGTAATTTATTATTATTATTTCAAAATTGCATTTGAGTGAAATATAATACAATAAAGCTTGCTGTGCTGGAGACAGGACACGTATCTGAATCTGCTTTCTTTGAACTTTTTGATTTCTTGAAATTGTTCCAGAAGTGCCATTTATTGTGGAAATTACTGAGAGTTACAAGGGAAACATGCTTCTTTTTTTTTCTTTTTTAGTATTTTTTACTTTGCTTTATGATAAGGCATAGAAAATCTTCTAGATGTCAGGTTCAGTATCTTTTGAGCATATATGTGTGTGTTGGAGGTGAAGCAAGCCTTTTCAATTCAGTCCATTGTTTTTTACTGTGTGTGAAGCTACTGGGGATGGAGTTCAAATCATAGATCACAGAATTGCTCAGGCTGGAAAAGACCAAGAAAAGATCATCGAGTCCAACCACAACCTAACCATACTACCCAAACTCTAACAACCCTCTGCTAAATCATGTCCCTGAGCACCACATTCAAACGGTTTTTAAACACATCCAGGGATGGTGACTCAACCACCTCCCTAGAGAGCCTATTCCAGTGCTTAACAACCCTTTCTCTAAAGAAGTTTTTCTTGATATCCAACCTAAACTTACCCTGATGCAACTTGAGGCCATTTCCCCCATCCTGTCACATGTCACCAGTGAGAAGAGACCAACTCCGCTCCTGCTGTAAGCACCTTTCAGATATTGGAAGAGAGCAATAAGGTC